TATGGAAAAGAAAACCGTGATCTAGTTAATACTTCCCGTGTATTAGCCTTTTCGAATTGTTCTTGTTGGCATCGGTACCAAAGATCATGCAGAGTGATGGATGGGTGCCATTGGCTGTGGCCATTCGATAAAGCGGATCAATATTACCCAATTCGTTTCCAATCGATCGATGTGCTGCAGTCTTTCCGGAATCTCCTCTCGGTGAGCGAATTGTCGACCGTTGTAATCGTTTTGACCATACTAGATCAGCACTATGCTTTACTGTTAATTTGCTTGCTTCAAATACGACCATTGATGCTGGAAACAACTCCCTTCGGATTGTCTCCACGACAGGTGGGGTCCACATAGCGGCCTGCCCATTGCAATCCGTCGTTCCTCGTTGCACGCCGGTTCTAATGGTGGGCTAGGGTGGTATCACCTTGGTCTTACATCCGGTTGCTAACTGATTACATCAATCAAGTCAGACGCAACGGTAATCTTACTGTATCGTCACTAGTCGTTCCGTAAGATCTCGTGTGTTTTCAGGAGACTAAATTCATAATCTGGCCCATCATGCCAAGTATTTGTACCACGTTGCAAGGCAGAGTCACCACAGCTGCTTTCCTTCAGACTTTCAGTCTCTCGAGGAATCTACGATTAATCATCCTCGTGCAGTGTGATATCTATTCTCTCTTCCCGAATTTCCGGTTCATCTGCTGCCCATAATATGTCTTCCACGACTATCCCGGGAGATATCTCGTCGTAATCACGCAAGTCGGTGACGCCACTTATTTTATACACAACGTCTATGCGCCTTGCACCAATAATGAGAAGACAGCGTCTTATGCGGCTCTTTCCGGCCACTGTTACCGTGAGGGGGTATGTCACATAATTCTTGGGGACTTTGACTTGCAATAGATTGTCTCGATGGACATTAGTCGGGTGAGACGCGAGGCAGTGGAGCTAGAGCCCATTTCAATCGCTGGTTATCTTCACTTGGAGTGGGTGATGCTTGGTGCCGTCATCATCCTGATGATCGATTGTATACCATCCCAGTACCGCGAATGAATCGTCTTGATTTTACTTTCGCGGATGACCGGCTACTGGAAAATTATCACTCGGCTACTTCATATTTGAGCACACCCACGGTGCTGGTGATCATATTCTACCCAGGTACACCTGAATACGATCAAAACAGCCCAAAGACCAGGTTTCATGCGTTTCTCAATAAAATTTCTTGATTATTCTGCTGTTAAGGCTGCCATTGATTTGAGGCATCCCAAGTGTGTGCTACAATACGTACGGCTACTAACCCTGGACTCGTGCGGGAAGGCTGGACGCGTAAAACTCGAAAAGCATTGAAAAATTTAGAATTTGGGCTTCGACATGAGCGTACTCGCGAGATTCGTAAGGCTCGTAAACTTGCTTCCTTCAATAGGCAGAATACTGATTAAATCCCAGCATAGAGACTCGTCTACAGCTTGAACGGGCGCAGGCTATCCTCAGCTTCTAGCAACATCAATTTAATGAGATCCATCAGGATGCGAATTTCCATAAATCTGCGACTCAGATGAAGCTCTGCTCGCGGCAGTTATCACAACCTCCATGTTCGGATCTCCTCCGTGTACCGATTGCAAAAGCGCTACACTTGGATGGTACCGAGAATAACAATCCCGCCGATGTTGCAGACATGTTTCGCCGCCATTGGGATGCTATATTCAGCGATCTAAGCTGCTCGCCACATAACAAGAGGATCGACACTATAGCTCAATATCGTCTTATAAATACCGTACAGTGAACCTTATCTACTGAGCAGGAACAGGTGCTTGACGAAGACCTTCCTGCTGGAATATTTGGCGATAACCATTCGGCATCTACGCAATTCGTCTGCACCTGGGCCTGATGTATTGTCGGCAACCTCTTGCAAAATGGCTCCGGACGCCTTTGGGGACATCCTTTCGACATTCTTTTGATACCAGATTCAGCGTGGCAACCTACTTCCCTCACAGTGCAAGGCAGCCGTGACTCTTCATTACAAATTGGGATGTAGGTCGCACCTCAGTAATTATCGACCAACATCTATGGTGCGAGTGGACGTCAAAATACTGAACAAATCGATCATGTATCGTACGCGTCAGCTCATACCGCATTTAATTCACGTCGGGAAAAGGGCTTTATCCTTAGAAGATCGCCTCATCACCATGTGCGTTTTCTTAGTGATTTACAGCACTTGCTGTCAGAGATAGATGAAGACGGTATCGCGGAATTCCTAGATTTTTTAAAGGCTTATGATCGCGTGGACTGGACCTACATGTTTTGCCTGCTATCTCGGATGGGTTTCGGTCACTATTTTTTAATCCTATATTTAATTGCTGTATTGCAACACTAACGGCAGTCTTCTAATCAATGACAGATTGCTAGATCCGATGGGGGTCAATCGGGGGATCAAACAAGGTGACCTCCTATCTGTTTTCCTGTTCCTGTTCTGTATCAAGTCATTGGGTAATCTGTTGCGGTCTCGTCAAGATCTTGGAATACCCATTCCCCTGTCATGCGGCTGACTGGTCTTTATTTTGCAGACGACCCCACTTTACTGGCGTTTTCTCCTGCTTCCGCTGTAGACCAGCTTCAGATTGTCCAAATTTACTGTTCGGGTTCGGGTGCCTTACTCATTCTCTCCAAGTGTTGGGCTCTTACGCTTAATCGTTCACGGGAGCCGTTCCATATTGTTGGAATACAAGGCCTCGAGCCGCAGGATGATGTTAAGTTTCTTATAATTTCTTTGGTCAACGCGATTCAACTACACGACACCTTGCAGAGCTTGATAAACCTCGTAATGATCGCCTGAGGGTTTGGCGAGATCGTAAATGACGGTTGACACTTGCTACTTCCGTGGTTTTTATGACCGTGTGGTATTTTACACACTATCTTGAAATGCCCGAGCCGAATGTCCGACGTTGGTAGCGGCTACTGGAAAATTTCGTGCTATATCGACGCATTGATCCAGAGGATACGTCTAAGAGCCTCACTTCGCGTGAGTTTGGCTACCTTTCTACGAGTCACGGCCGTCTACGTATCCTTTAGCTGACTGTGCATCTTCGGCGACAGCGCGTTTCCGTTACTCAACAGTACATGACGTCGATGACGATATCAACTACATTGATCTGATCAAAACCTGCAGTCATTCTCCTTGCTGAAGCTTTGCCACTTCGACATGTTCTTCGTCCATGTAATCTTATTAACACGTCGTTTTATCGACCCCGCTCCTTCGTTAATTTGCGATTACTACCTTTTTGGTGGCGTTCGTCGTTGGAATATGGTCGGCTACTTCGTGGCCGGTAAAGATTGCGGACTTGTCTCCGGCCATCAGGGACAAACATTCATTGTTAAAGTCAGTTTTGGGTTCCCCTTGACCTTTTCATTAAAGGGGCTTCAAAAATTCGTCCACGAGGTTTCGTTCAAATTGTTGGACCTTCCCGTCACTTTCGATTGTCGCTTGCAGAACGGCACGGTCTTTGCGGTTTGCCGATTTTCTGCCTGGTTTGAATTGTTCTCCCTCACTAGCCGAGTTTAAGTACAGATTTCTACAGCTGGCTGGAGTGACGTTTTCTTTCTCCCGCCAGCGCAAGTGGCTGCGAGCTCTTTATAATGAATTGGACCAAATTTTAATTAAAGTTACCACTCCTACCGTTGCTTTAAACTGTATGCGTTCCTGTTGCTGTGGGAAGAACAGCTTCTCTGTTAGAATATGGCGAGGCAACCACTTTTATATTGCTCCCTATCTTTCTACATCAGCTCTGCGAGATGTTATCAAAGTAGCTATCTACAAAGGCGCCGCATACACCCTATCGCCAAAATTGTCGACTCCACTGAAACCACATCTGGTGACGATAGTTGTCGATTTTGACCGCAAAAGCTCTGTCAACTTACTCCCAGTTCTGCGCGACCTCCAATTTCGACTGATGTTTCGCTTGTTGCCCATCGGATCGCGTTTTCATTTTCTGCAAAGTTCTCTTCCGGACGTTATGCGTTGTCCGTGTACGGGCCGCACTGTTGCCGTCGAGACGGAGCGTCACCTTTTCTTCGTATGTGCACCAGCGATTTGACTTTGGGCCTTTGTCAGTAGTGCCTGGTTTCCAAAAATTGGCATGTCTTTGACGCATTTCGTTCACCCCGCCACCATCCCGGTAAAATTGTTCCCGTGATATTGACCCTAAAGCCTTACGAGTGATTTGGTGCGTTTTTTTTGGCCATTGTGCTCCATCAGCTTTGGACCCGGCGTAACGCCATCGTATTCGAGCACCGTCGACCTCAATCGGTGACCTAGCACGTGTTTAGGCTTTAAACCACCTTTGCTGCCCACCTTCGTTTCATCCGTCGCACGGGATGTGTACCAGCTCCCTATCTTGATCTCATATTCGATGTATGACATATCGACCGAACTGGTGGGGTCTTCTTGCGTCGATCCGCGTCTTCTAGCTACACGTGATGTTAACTAGCTAGTTTTCACCCACACTCTTTGTGATATTTTTGGGTGCTCACCTTGAGCCGTATTTGACGGTCACAAGTTTTACCGCCAGCTTGCCCATACTCAACGCGTCTGTTGCACGTAAATCGGTGTCCCTAATTTTGAGCATAGTTGAAAACTTATAAGGCCAATTCAATATAGCCGCTGAAAAAGGAAAGCTACATAAAGCGTTACTAATCGTATGGTTGCGCATTAATAATCGCCACATCGCGCATTACTTTTAGTCTAGTCGTACGTTTCTAATTTTGGACGTGTGTTCTTAAACTCCCGAATGTACCGAAAGTGGGGTACGTCAATGTCTGGCAGAACAGTGCTGGTGAACCCCAAACACTAGATCCCGAAGGCTTAACGTTTTGTTTGCACGCACCCACTGGTGTCGATCCAGTGACTTTTTGATGGTACTGCCATACCATACTGGCTTAGCTACAGAACATTTTTCTGAAACGTCATGCCGAGGAGTCTCTTTCACAAAACCCCCACTCGTCTCGGCAAACTATGGCGCCTTGATGCCCAACATTGTTCGGAGATACCGGAACTGAACTGCCGGAATTGGCATGGTCATTACGTCAGCCTTCATGACCTTAATCGAGCAAAAATCCAGCACCACATTTCCTTCTGCCACCTTCTCACGCACGAAGTGATCTGGAATGTCGATGTGATCGGTCCGCTTGTGAGACTTGGGGTTCTTGGCCAAAGCGATGGAACCTTGATTGTCTTCGTAGGTCTTGACTGCTTCGTCACCATTCATCTCGACGAGTTCATGTAAAAATGCCTTAATCCACATTTCTTCTTGTGCAGCTTCATTTAAAGCCATGTAATCAGCTTTGTAGACTATAGAGCCACAATGCTCTGTTTCTTTCTTCTCCATCTAAGGCATCTGTTGATCATCACAAAGGCGTACTCGCTTGTAATTCGTCTATCCTCGACGTCTCCAGTCCAGTCCTCATCCGATCAGCCTTGCAATTTATTATCACTGTTTGCTCGGAACTCACTTCCACACTTCCTTGTGCCTTGGATGTAACGGAACACCCGCTTAAGAGCTTGCCAATCAGTTGGACAAGGTTCTACCGCGAACTGACTGAGCACTCCCACTGCAACCCAGATATCTGAGCGGATTTTTACCATGAGATACATCAAGCAGCCGATGGCTAGCGGTGTGGCACATATGCAATTGATTCCGCATGCTTGCGCACATCTGCACACATTGACCTTTTCAACTTGAGTCCAGGTTCTCATGGAGTCTTGACAGGATTGCTGTTTTCCATGCCAATTTCTCGAGAAAAGTCTTTGCAAATTTGGACTGACGAATTAAAATCGTGCCGGCTGAGAGGTCTTGACCAATTTCTATTCCATGGAAGTACTTGAGGTAGCACAGGTCTGTCATGTCGAAGCGTTCATTTAGCGCTTGCTTAGTTGATCGTATCAGCTCGAAGTTGTTACTTGCGATGATTAAATCGTCAGCGTACAGCGCCACGAAGATCATGTCCTGATGATGTCGCTTGACGTAGATGCAGTGATCAATTTTGCATTTTAAAAATTTAAGTCCAGCATAAACTTGTTGATGGTCTGGTTCCACATTCGTGATGACTGCTTCAGACCATACAGAAAGCGCTTGAGATGACAAACAAGATTCGAGTGATCTTCACCAACATAGCCGCCAGGATGTATCATGAAGATGTCTTCATCAAGGTTTCCATTCAAAAAGGCTGTCTTGACATCCATCTGGTAAAGCATCAGATTGTGCTTTTCCGCCAAGCTGAACAAAATTTTATTTTACGTAATCTTAGTCACCGGAGCAAAAGTATCTAGTCAATGCCATGTTTCGGCAGAAAGCCTTTGGCCACCAAAAGCGCTTTGAAACGCTTGGTTGTCCCATCCTTGGTTTCCTTTACCAAAAAACCGATCGATTGCCGATTGCCTTGCGCCCCTGTGGTAGTGGCGAAAGCTCACAGGTCGAATTCTGGTGAGTAAACGTATTTTAAGAATCGCATACCTCTTTCCATCTGACTGAATCGTTGAATTCCAATGCAGACTTGAGCGTTATTGGAATTTCTCCCACTGAATCCACTATGTAGGCAGTCTCAACGTAGAACTTGTCATGCGCTGTCGCAGACATTTTAGCCATGGTAAGGTATAGACTTGGCCTTTTCGCCTGTGGAGGATCCGCTAAGGCCTCCATCGACTGCGTGCGTTGGTGACACTTTCTCCTGGTCGCATCGTTAACATCCCTTGTAGTATCCTCTCGTACCGTTTCAGTGTTGTTGGTACGGGAGTAGTCTTCTTTTGTCGACTGTTCGTCTTCGAGGACAGATTCATCTGGAACGTAGTCACGTCTCCCACCATCGAAGATGTCCTCCATGAATTGTTCGTCGCTACTTACCATCACACGTCCGCTCTTGATCTCCTCAAAACGAAACACTTTCTCCTGATCGGAGTACACGATGAACCGGCAATGAACTGATCTTGCGTCGAGCTTGGACCTCTTTGGGCTGGGCGCAAGAGCGTATGCATGACAAATAAAACCTCCAAGTTCGCAAGAAGAGGTTTCTTGCTAGTCCATACTTGGTATGGTGTCTTGCCATGGTCCGTAGATCGAGTTGGACAGCGACTAGTAGGAAGTTTGCGGTCATGACCGCCTCACCCCAATACGACTTGGAAATCACAGCATGTTCCATCATGCATCGCGCGCTTTCCACCAACGTCCGATTCATCCGTCCGGCGACACCTTTAAGCTACGAAGTGTAACGTGGTGTAAATTTCTCCACGATGCCATGGTCCAAACAGAACTTGAGCAGCATAACGGGGGTGTACTCCTAACCTTTGTCACTTTGAAGAAATCTTACACGCTTGCCAGTTTGTGTCTCCTCTAGCGCGACAAACTGAGCGAACTTTGGTCGAATCTTCATACTTGTTTTGTAGCAGGTTCAACACACAATAGTGCGAGTATTCGTCGATAACGTTTCAGAATAACGCTTGCCAATGAAGTCAGGAGTGTGCATGGGTCCACGTATATCGCTGTAAATGACCCCCAGCAGTGTCGTTGCGCGATCGGGTGACTTCGGCATATAGCTCACCCGTATTTCCTTGCCCAGAGCGCACCCTTTGCATGGCTCCCACATGTTTACCGATGTCAAGTTGATTCCGTTGCAGCAATTGCTCTTGACGATAGCATCTAGGCCGCCGTGTATAATGTGACCAAGTCGAAGATGCCAGAGGTAGGAGGTGGTATTTGCTTTGCAGGAATTCGAGCTTGCCACGTTTACCTCGTCAAGAAATGTCGGTATCATACAGAGCTTGAACAGTCCGTTTCCTTCGAGTTCGTCGAGTTTCCACTTAATACCCTTTGTTTCAGCAAAGCAACCGTCAACCTCGAAGGTGACCGGTCCAACGTCCTTAACTAATTGGCCATTAGAAAACGGATTGCGCGACAAATCTTGGGATATGCCACACATCCGTGAGCACACCATTCTTGACCCCTTGATGTGTCTTCATTGACATAACAATGTCACCTATTCCAATTGCTTGGACCACACCGTCATCAGCAAGATGTACATCGACTGGGCCAAAATCCTCGTAGTTCCCCATGAACCTTTTGAATTTGTCATGAGCTGTGTCGCACCCGAGTCGACCAGTAACATGTTACTCGACTTGGCCTTGCCACCATTAATCGAGAAAAAGAAAATCGCCAAGCTCTTGTTCTTGCGCGATATTCACACTTTGAAAGCGGTGTCTAGTAGCGTCTTCCTGGATCCGTGAGGGGCATTCCGTAATTCAGTGTCCTTGTTTTCCACACTTGTGGCACGCACCGGTCTTCTTCGCCGGTCAAGACTTGCGCTTGATGTCTCGAGACATGAATGCTTGAGATTATATGTGCGCAGATCATATATCTCCGCCAATTTGCTCCTTGCGCTTCATGTCTTCGTGCAACATACTAGACTTCACTAGTTCCCACGTAAGAGAGTAGGCTCTTGACTCCAATGTTGTAATCAGAAACCGGTACTACTCGCTGAGGCTGGCCAGAATCGTGATGACCAAGTCAACCTCGCTGACCGGAGCACTAACTGCGTCGAGCTTCTCCGCCATAGTATTGAGTCTGTTGATGTGCTCAAGCACGTCATCACCTTCTCCCATCATTTTCTTGAAGAAGCGACGACGAAGGAAGAGATTAGTGGTCATGCTCTTCTTCTTGTAGTGTTCTTCCGGACGTTACCATGCATCATGCGGATACTTATCGGCCTTACAAGTGGCAACTACGAATCCTCCATTGCAAGAAAGATGATCGCTAGAGCCTTTCGCGACTTCTGCTGGTCCAAATTACTGGTGCAGTCCTCGAGCTTGACCTCGCCGCTCACGACGCCCCATTGATCTCGCTCTTCCAGCACAATCTGCATCTTAAACATCCATATGTGGAAGTTCGTTCCGGAGAACTTTTTGATGCGAGCTGCGGTGATTGGAGCAGAGTTTATCGAGAAAGCGTGGTTGAAGTCTTGGCCAGATTCAGCGGAGCTTGGGCTTATAACTTATAGGTAGTACTCGATGTTAGATGAAGTTGGCAAATAAAAAGTGAATATATCTAGGTCCTTCGTTCACAAACTCAGTTGCTACTCTAAGCCTACTGAATTCTTCGACTACACGTTCCTGATAGCTATATCGCGCACTAGTTATCGCCACATCGCTCATTAATAATCGCCACATCGCGCGTAAACATTCGTCTAGTCGTACGTTTCTAATTCTGGTCGTGCGTTTCTAAATTCCCAAACGTACCGAAAGTGGGGACGTCACTGTCTGGCAGAACAGTGCTGGTGAATCCTAAACACTAGACCCCAAAAGCTCAACCTTTTGTTTGCGCGCACCCACCGCGCATCGAACCAGTGACTTTTGAATGGGTACTGCCATACATACCAACTGAGCTACATAACACATTGGTTCCGACTCGGTGCATTGCTGTAGCACCGACCCCGTCAATCCGGCGATTGCGGTTCGATCCGCACCCCCGACCAAGTTAAGGTCGCCAGAACGAAGAAGTCGCAATGAAACTATGGGAAACCGGTATCAAAGAGCAAAACAGCTTAAGAAGCGGACGATCTCAAGTGAAGCACGAAAGTCTCGACGCCCAAAGAGGCATAGAAAGTTAACAAAAGAATTGAAAAATTTAGAGCGAAAGTATAGGATTTAAGCAAGGCCGAGAAGATATAGCCAGTGTAAAGGTAACATGCAGCCACTTCAACTGAGCTACGGAACACGTTTATGAAACGTCATGCCGAGGCGTCTCTTTTACAACACTCTAGACGTCCGAAATATACCCTCTTTGTATCACCTAGAGGTTCAGCTGGTCTGTCTTTGAGATGCAGTGTTATTAGTCAATTAAATCGTTGTGGCTGGGTGGGTGTGTCCCCTCGTCGGGCCCTATACGTAAATGCATAAGAAACAAAGTGGTCTCATTCTACGGCTATGAAGCATTGCTATCTTGGTTCAGAAGAAGAGAGTAGTCAGAATAATGTGCTATCCGAAAAAAAGCGCTTAAGTGGCATTTGCTTGCATGACCATAAAGAGGCTATATAAGCGTCGCTGACGGGTACAAATACGGTGATACTTGCTCATGCGATAAATGATGGGTAAAACGGTCCCAAGTGCTGCGCAGGTGAAACCAGGAAAGTTTGAATAGCTTCTTTACGCTGGTCAGTACAATAAATGGCAAAAATTGTATCAAAAACAGGAGTCGCGGAAATCGTCGCAGTTCAAGACGCAGTTCACAGTATCCATTTACCGTTCACAGTCAAAATTAACACAGTGGCTAACGACCGTGGCGATGGCCAAACCGTTTTGATGCCAGCAACGTCGCTACTGTGGCAGCCCAGTACTTTTCCGTATCTAATGAATATGTAGAGTACAATTAGGAAGGAGCAGACAAAACGGAGCGCGTCAAACTGACGCTGTGAAGGGGTCAGGTGATGTCACGGTTGTGCAAGAAAGTGGTAGTGGTCATGAAAAAATCTCCAATCAAAGCGTCACTACCCTTGTAGCTGAAGTCGGAACACGTAAAATGAATGAACATGATTCTTACCTTCACCACTCTAGCTGTATCCCTCGGCGCTATTTAGAATGTGTTTGACTGCTCGTTCGTGTAGGTACAAAATCGGTACCCATTCACGAGATGTCAAATGAGACATACTCCACCGCAAGGAGATAGTAGCTCTCGATGTTACCACTTCTGTTCAATTGAGCGCTGATGATGCACGTTCAAATAGTCTGATGCACGTAGCAGTTTAAAGATCGAGGTACTCACTAATTTACCGGTAAAAAGTCTGGTAGTACGCAAGCTATTAAGTATGCAGGTTAGATCATGGTCGGGATCGCAGTGCTGTTTAACTAATTAAGTGGTATCTTCTTTTCTTATGCATTTGGTTGTATGGTAAGGAAGTGCCATCGATTCATTAAGACAGTTCGACTGAGAGTACGTATCAGAGGGTGAACGTGTACCTGAATTTGCCTAAAATATGAGCTCCGTCGGATTTGCTTCCAGGGAGAAACTTCAACATTGGACTGGATTGTAGACCTTCATATTCCATTTCACAGCATTCATTGACCATTTAAGGTAACAAACTTAGAAAAGGAGACACAAAAAGGGAGAAGAAAGCCATTTTTAAAGATTCAAATCACGAAATAGCATACACCTGCAGTATTCACGATACCCGACAACGTAAATTTAAATATAGCATTCGGACTGGGATCCATCCACATTTGACAGACGTGTGCATTATAGTAATTAGCACAGCTTACACGAGCATTGTGCATTCGGTGAAGAACACCATACTACGCGGAAGAACATGTACGATTTGAAAACGGTAGTCGCTGCAAGTAGTTATGGAACGTCACCGAGTCATCATACAAGCAGCACGCTGGAAGACAAGTTGCTCACTGTATTGCCATCAAGGATAATAGAATCGAAATCGTCAATGACTTGTCGATGAAAAACGAAATTGAAAGGCTAAGCGTAGTGTGCTTATTGATTTTATTATAAATTAGCTGGAAGAGAAGCAAAAGGTAAAGCTCCGCGTTCTAAATGTTTGTTAAATCTATCAAAATGTTCTATTTTTCACGTCAAAATCTCCAGCTGTGCTACAGACAGCACTCAGTCCTTTGAAATTACGTGCAGAGAGAGCACGGCCACTAATGTCGACATGGACCACCCAGATTGCGATTGTACTCCATAGACTGTAGTGAAATGGTGCGTTGAAGAAAGTCAGACTGATCAGTATATTGCGGGAGAATGGTGATTAGAATAGGTAAAGTCCTCTATCGAAATACAATTCGGTATATGTCTTTCACGTTAACATGAGTATACTTGGACGTGTACCATGCACACACCGATGAAAATCTTTTTAATTTTCGATCGTAATAAAGTCTGCTGACGCTGAAGAATCCAATATTGGCCTATGTGGTAGAACCTTTATGAGCGGATAGCCTTGGGACTGGGTGTACATGATAGCCAAGGTGAGCTACCAGTCAAGCGAGTTCCGCGGCCCTTCACGGCATCCATTTGGGGACGTGCATGGGACTGACAACAGACAGCGGTTTCGACAAGCTATCGAGCAGTAGTGTTTTAGGCACTTTCGATAGTACAGTACTTGCGAATGGAAGGCGCAATCTATGATGATTAATGGCATCAATCGATCACATAACTCTAAGCTCACATAAGGCATGGGGTGAAGACTCGTTCGTGAAACTGAAAGCTCTTTCGAAGCTTCGTAACAGGAACAAGCTAACTTCTCACATCTTTAGCGTCAGCGTCTGCTGTAGTAATTTTTTGAAATGAGCGCAGCGCATGTTTTTGGGCCAGATAAACCACTTTGTTTGGTACATCGCGAATTTTTTTGCTAAAGAATCTGCAGATCTTGGATTGTCATTATTGTCCATGCCCTTTGGCTTTCTAAGAGTAGGTGCTCTGAGTTTTTAAACAGTTTGTGGATCGTCACAGCGTCTCCATACATTTAGGAAATCGCAAGAGCCTCGACCTTGTTTGTAGTCCAGTCAATCACCTCATCATATAAATTAAGGCTCACATGCGAAATCATCCTTAAACCGTTCGAATGAAATGACCTCAGGCAGAAGAATGGCGATCGCTGTGACAAATCCAGTGCCGACCTAGGCTTGCCTATCGCGTAATACGCATAGTCCTGTTGCGCATCGAATAAAATACCGGGTCATAGAATGCGATTAATTTGTATTTATTCGATTGAACTTTTTTCTTTTTCTAACCACATACGAAGTAAAAATGTGCACCTTCCATGAGCATTTCAGCATTAAATTTGCAAAGGCTGTTTTTCCCTGGACTGCGATCATTTGACATAAACAACCCTTTTTGTATGCCACAAACAATTTTAGACCGCTTTACGAATAATGAAAAAAAAATCAGTGCCCAGTCTCGTTGGGAACGCTATCAATACATCGACCTTAAGAGTCACGTTTTGACGGTTGACTTGCCCAGAAGCCCATACCTGCTCGTATTTTACGCACTTGGTACTAATAAGCACCAACTCGATAAGGAATGGATCCAGCTACTCTTCGAAATAAGGACCTCGGACACATTGAGCTATGCAGACTCTTCGTTTTACTTTGTGTACTGCCTTGATACATACTGCATTCATGCTGGTGGCAAAAGCATCAAAGGTCAGCGTTTACCCCGAAGCTGTTTAAATCGGACGGAAACGTTGTTCCCAGTCACGCTGCCAGAAAAGCGATGAATACGGTGAAGCAAAGTGCTCAGGTGAAAGTTGATCAGGCGGGTGGAACCAATAGTTCAGGGCCAAATGGCCGTTACCCTGCGCAGAGCCAAATGACTCCACCTCGTGAAACCACGAAGCAGGGAGGTACAGAATTTCTCCCACCTCTAAATCGCACATGGCACATTTAGCTTGATAGAACTTGGGAAAATCTGATTGCAGTTCTTCTTGCGTCTGTTCGCCATCGCGCAACCGAGATGTGTCGACCTGGCTGAAGCTCACAGGGTACGTAATGTCCATCTCGCTAACATCCCGCTTTGCACTCTTTTTGCTTTCCTTGTCTTCTTCAGGGTCGAATGCAATTTCATCCAGCTCGCCACTTTCGCTTTCATCATCTCCCTCAGCGTCGCTCTCATCAAAGGAAAACGCTTCATTTCCAAAATGCTGGTCACCTTCATCATCACTATTTTGCGCTTGCAGCATCCCAAACAACGCCTTTTCTAGCCTCTCTTCTGCTGCTTCACGGCGGGCTTCAGCCCCCAACTCACCAGCTTTCACAGCATGTTCGGCTTCAACCAACTCACGCTCCGCCTCGTTCTTCAAAATGGCAGCCAGTGCCTCCCGTTCTGCCGCTGGATCAGCGCCGTAAGGCGTAGTCGTCTTTCCCACGTAATTGATCAAGCCGTTCGGATGGACGTGCGCCATCTGTCCACGCACGTACATCTTTTCAGCGTCAACAGGTGAGTACAGACGGAAGCGCTTCTTGCCACGCATCAGAATATACAGGTTATCATGGTAGTCATGATGCAGCCCTGTCGATGACCCATGTTTGTTGTTTCCCATCCACATGTTGATATTTTGTGGGATGAGGTGGCCCATGAGCTTCGGACGAACGGGGAAATCTTGCTGCAGCTGTCGCATGAACGGAGCCATAATTTCAGGCCGGCCATCATCGTCAACCACCACCTCCTGTGTCGTCAGATAGTGCATCTCGTCCCCCGAAACGATCAAGTTAAGTAACTCGCACAATGGCATTTCCACTGCAATGCCCTTGCCAAACTTGTCGTAGACATGTCCACGACGCTCCACCGTGAGCTTCGTCTCTCCCGCAAGTTCAATCAGACGGTCGTTTGACTCGGACCACTTCACTGGCGCAGTGAACTCTTTATCCTGCAAACATCCAGAGAGCACCACGGGCGTCCGTGTGCATACAAACTTGGCGAAGAACTCTTCAGGCGTCACGCTGTCAACAGGAATGCGCTCGATGCTAAAGTTGTTGCTGGGGACGTGGAAGCCCTTGAACTCATTCACAAAGTTCGACTCGGCAGCGTCAGCTTTTCCGCCTACTTCACTGGTGCGCAGACGTTTATGCGAGCCAGCGGTATCGGCTCCTGCAGTGGTCCCGACTGGCGTTGTAGCCATGAGGGGCAATGGCTAAAGCCACTTCACAAGATTAACTGGATAAAGCGATGGGATAAAATCGAGCGCTGTTATATTTGTGTACAGACACTCTAAAGTGAGCAACCGACGAGCGGACCAAAGCTGTTTGGCGAGAACAATACATATACCGATAAACCGTTCCTGTTGCAATTCCCAGCACCATATTATCGTCATTCACGGCACCAACGAATCGCCGGGACTAACTTCTCGTCCTTCAATCCAGCACTACATGCTAGCATATGCGCCTACAGAATCTGAAAACTCCCCATCTAACCAAAGTGGTATCGCTGGCCGCCCATGCCACCGCCCATGCCTCCCATTCCTCCCATGCCACCGCCACCACCACCACCGCCGAAGAACATCTACATTATACGAACAAGTCAGCAAAAGCATTGCAGGAAAGTAAAACAACTGTCGGTGGTACCTGGAATATCTGCGAAGGGTCAACACCACCCATGCCACCTCCCATGCCACCTCCACCAAAGTCGCTGTCAAGGTCTTCCAGATCCACTCCAGAGTCGTAGCGCTGTCGTTTCTGAGCATCTGACAGCACTGCGTATGCCTCACCAACGTCCTTGAAAGCCGCTTCGGCCTCAGCTTTCTGTTCTTCTGATTTACCGGCGTGGCGATCCGGATGGAACTTTAGCGCCATCTTCTTGTACGACTTCTTGATCTCAACGTCGGTAGCGTTCTGCGCGACGTTCAATATCTTGTAATAGTCCTTACGCTTCGCCTTCTTGATGTCTAGCTTTGTCTGGCGAATGTTGTTCTGGATGTCACGCTGAGCATCGTCACCCACAAGTTTCGAGGCTTGGTCGTAGACACGCAGCGCTTGCTCCAGGTTTTCTGGACCACCAAGGGCCTTCAGGCAAGCAGCCTTGCGAAGGTACGCCTTGGCATATCCGTGATCGTAGTAGATGGCCTTGTCACAGTCTTTGATGGCCTCATCATGTCGATTCAGCCGCGACAACGCATTGGCTCGATTGCAGTGAATCTTTGAGTTAAACGCCTTGTTCTTTGGGTCGATTTTCAAACATTCTGTGTACATCTGCACGGCCTCCGCCATCTTGCCAGCTTTGAAAGCATTGTTTGCTTCCTCTTTGCACGTCTCTAAACTGCGAATCCGCTTGATCTCCTTCATACACTTGCTGTTGTCCGGATCCGACCGCAGCGCCTGCTGCAAGTGCTTAATTGCACTCGGGAACTCGCCCTGGTAGTACAAACAGCGTGCCCTCAAAAACAGCAGCTCGGGACTACTCGAGTCTGTGCGCATGAGCTGTGTGAGCACTGCAAAAGCTTCATCGTAGCGTTCGCAACCGATCAGCGCCTCGCCACGTAGGAGCTTGATCTTACTAGAGCCTGTGCACACCTGTGCGGCACTGTCAAACATGGCCACTGCCTGTGAGAACTTGCCCTGCACATAACCCCACAATAACAACACCAACTGTAAAAACTCTGTACAAAAAACATGATCGCACTGCAGTTCCAATCGAAACCAGCCCGTACTGCTGCAAGGTGCTCTTTGCCACGTTGCACCTGACTCAGTGCCATCTCTAGCGTGCGCTTCTCGCTCAGCAGCGTGCTGTTATTCGGGTCGCGGATCAATCCCGTCTGATACGTCTTCAAAGCGGCTTCATTGTCACCCTAAGTAGCAATAACAAAAACCCATTCACATGCAATGTCATCAGCTTCGAAAAATTGGATAAAATCCACCACCAGATCCTTGTCATGGGATGATTTTCAAATATCCAGATATTCCGCACCATTGCGAGCTGCGCCTTGGCTTTGCGCACGTATCCCTTCATATACATCGGGTCAAACACGATGGCGCGATTGCAGTCCATCACCACGTCCTTGTGCTTGCCCAGCATGAACGAAGCAGCGGCGCGGTTGCCGTAATAGGCCACGACGGTGGGTGCGGCGTCGATGGCTTGTGAGTACTTGTCAATGGCGCGCTGGTAGTCCCCGCGTTTGTACAGCTCATTGCCCTGCGACTTGAACTCCTCTGCGCTTCCGTCCGTCATGACTGCGATGCTGGCTGTATGGACGATGGATCGGTATGGGCAGGTTGATTACCTACCTGTCTGTCTGTCTGTCTGACTGTGTCGCAGAGCCTCCTGTCGCCTAGCGCTGCGAGCCCCAGTCAAATTCCACTTTGTCTTACCCGAAGTGGGATTATCGTATCCATTCTCGAACATTCCAGCATACTCAAGTCAAGTCAAACGACAAAAATAGGAGTTTTGTGTGTGGTTCACATCCATCTTGTTTTAAGTACGCATGTCGCGATGAATGGATTTAGTTACGTATCGAGGCAGTTTACAAGATAATTTGTTTTTATCTGACGTGGTACGCACTTGCATGATTCCTAAAATTTGGTGATCCTTCATAAATGCCCCCCTGAAGCCATGTAACTTGGACTTCGAGAATCACGCGGTCATGCATTTTGTCTTCGAACATATCGCAATGGTACCGCTTACAAGCGTGTCAAGATGGGAAAATTCTGAGAGTTTAGGGATGCCGGTGGTGGTAGACAGGGGTCGATTTGTTCCGTGCATTCGAAGAATCTCTCTTGATGCATACATAACACAGACCCAGAGCCAAAAGTTGGTTCGGTTCGTAATTCAGAACGACTTGCAGGGTCGCGATCGAAAGCCCGAGTGGAAACAGCGTCCATATTGTACAGCTGAGTCAATACTGGCGCAACGTGTCGGACATGATCGTCACCGATGCGCGTATGCTTTGTAGTTACTCTATAACTATACTTTCCACATTTAAAGCTCGTAATCGCTTCTGTCTTTCGTGACAAGGATGATTAAGAAACCTCCATAGAGTTGCTTATTCTTGCCAAGGTTTTCGCCGAACCGAACGGGTACCTATCTAACAGTCATGGATGATACGAAGTCAAGACCGTTCCCTTTTTACTCGATCTTACTGCAGTATGAGTCAGTGGCCCCATCATCTTTGAATCTGTATGAAGAAGTAAGCTCCGCCCAAAAGACGTAGTCGTGGTCCCAGCATTCGTCCAGATCAACGCTGACACCGCGATTCTTAGTGATAGCACATTGCAAGCTCGTTCTGCAAGATGTATTGATCGTGAGTGAGATTAGTTTTTTGAAGTGTACCGCAGAGCACAGGATCAAGATCTTCTACTGGTGCACTTAGTGTAGCGTGATATTCTCCGATTGTAGATGTTAAGGTCGGTACTGTGTGCTCGTAGATACCCGCTCGACGTGTGTTTGCAGTTTGTACGGTATCCATTCGTAGTAACTTTTAGTGACCGCTAGCTCGATCAAACGGTATCGCTTCCAGCGCATTTCGATCAACTTGGATTTAGAAGCCACGTACGAATCCGGAGTGTTCCACCTTGGCACCGGACACACTATAAACAGGCCCGATGCCTTAGAATAATATAGCCATTACTACCTAGAGATAATGTGTTGCGAAATGACTGTTTGACCATCAATGCACTTTGGTCCCATGTGAATCAACAACCTCAATGAGAAGATCAGAAGCAAAGACGATGCGATCCGGCTGTACGAATACCCTCTTTGTCATATTAAAAGACGAATGGAGGAGGTGCAAACGCCAGACCAGGAGATAGGCCCGAGAGTCGCATTGAATGAGTACGCATGCAGTGTGTTTGCCTGCTCTTGAATTTGTACGCCCATTCGGAACACTTGAGCGAGAAGTCGCACACAATCCTCACTCGTCTGGCGCTAATACCAGGTCAGGCATGGCGTATCCGTTCCTTTTACTTTTTAAAGGACAATGAGCTCTACGATATGGGCGTCTCGATCGCATCTGCGTCGACCGAGGTTGCTGTGCTATCCTTTGGATGTCGTCGAGCTCTGTAGCGAGCGCGATGTGTTTGGGTATTGTAATCGTAGAAAATGGATGTGTATACGATATGACGATAAGAAAACAGTCTCGATCACGCTCGGGCAAGTTTCCGTGCCGGTCGCTAGTTACATGACACAGCAGCGGTTGTTAACATGTCGCAGGATATTCATACGCTCATGATGTAATTAGAGAACTAGTTTAGTGAAGACAGCAGTTCCCGATCATGGGAACGTGCTGGGTGTCGTGATACGTTAATCTGTACCAGACAAAGTGCTGGGTATGTAGGATGTCAGAGAAATTCCTGGGTATGCTGGAAAACATCGGAAGAAAGTGAGGTCATTCGATAGAGTATGGTTATTGTCGTCGTCGTCGTACGTTTGACGAATTCTGCAGTCAATCCCGAGTAGTGGTGGTAATGTTCAACTTCAGCAACGGTCAAACCTGAGACAACTGGCGAGTTCGAGTGCTTATTCCACAGAAGCCACCTTTCATTCTGCAGCGTTGTTTTTTCACGCTTTTACTGCTGCGTACCGTGTAGTTGCGAACGTTAAACCGTCATTCTAACACCCCACTTTATATAGTCTTACTTGCTCTAGCATTTGCTTCGCCTTGCTTTCCATGCCCACGTTTACTCTCGGATCTCAACAGTGGCATTGAAACGTTGTCAATGGCCGTGCAAGTGCTTGTCAAATTGACCAATACAACGAGATTACGTTTCGCGTGGAAGTAACGGATGAATCCCCTATCACGAATGTCGTTTTATCCGCTGGCCTCCCCCCTACAAAAACGACTTGCTCGCCACTTTATCTTTTGTTTCGCGTGTGAGACGAGGAAAAAAACATCTCGAGCTTGACATTATCAACGGACATTTAGAGCTCCAGTGCCATGTTGACCATGCGCGGACTCGTGCGCGCTATGTTTGAGGACCAGCGCCCGTTGCCCTCGAGCAGCACGCCAAGTTATACGAAGGTACGCGACGACGACAATCGATGCCGTAGCTGTGTGAATGAGCCAGAGAGCGAGACGTCGTACGTGCCCAAGCGCTTTGAAGGCGAGTACAACGTGTGTTTCCACCGCAAGCCACTGGGTGTCGGACTCGTGCCCAGCTCGCAGCTCTATGGCTCGTGGGAGGTGAGCTCAGTGCAGGAGACAGAGATGGAGGACGAGGACATGGCGTCGTCGTCCAGAGTCAAGGACGGGCACGACCGAGACGGAGAGACGATTGGCAAGGGCCACGTGTTGATTGCCATCAACTTTAGCTGTCAGAAAGCGCAGCTGCCGCGCGCGGAATTGGCTGCGTACTTGCGACAATGCGCTTGTCCTATTGTCATGACGTTTAGGGACCCGGAAGTCTTTGGATCACACGACTCGCGTGTTATGTCCACGGCCATGTACCCGTCGTCGATCGACTACTCTCTTCATTGTTATTCGACCAAAGTGGTGGCTAGGGCTTCGGCTGAGCAGTGGCGCCGGTCGTTGGAGCACGACCTGGCATTCAATGCTGAGCTGGCAAAGCGAGAGTCATCACGCGATTTGGCTCGAGCGCTGTTGGTGAGAAGGGATTCCGATGCAAGTGGCAGAACCATTTCGGTAGGAGAAGCAGGTGATGCAATGACCATCGAGGAACCTGAAAGTGTCGTGATAGTGAGCGGCGCGGCTGGAGGTGGAAACGAAGTGGTGGGACCCGATGTGTCGGAGCTGGGTGAGTTTGATGTCACGTTCGACGAGACCCCATTACATTTGAGGTTGGCACCGTCGACAAGGCTTTACGGGACGGTTGAAGTGTACGACCCCGAGCAACACGCTCCTATGGTGCAAGTGGGCGATGTGGTCATGGCCATCAACGGCTACCCGTCGATTTCCCGGTTAGCGTCTGACGACGTGATCGATACCATCGCGGAGTTGCAGGCTCCTGTGACGTTGCGTTTCCGCCGACCTGTGACGTATCGAAAGTACTTGGCTAAACGTCTTGACACGAGAAAGAACCTGTCGTCGCAGTCGGTTGCAAGCTCCATGTTTCCTCCGTCGGCTGAGTACAAAAAGAGGATACCGATGGCGAACGCCAGCCAAAGCTGTCAGTCTGCTTCTCTCGTATCTCAAAGTTTTGTTGAACCAGTATCTACAGAGAACTTCTTGACGAAAAACGCACAGGAACCTGACAATACGGACAAGGAGCGCGCGAAGGAGTTTAAAGCATTTGCAGCAAAGATTGGAGCACTGGATCGGTTCACGCTATGGGCTGGAAGCGACAGCCATGCGGAAGGACGGCCTTTAGCAGGCCATCGCTCGACGTTCTTAACGGAGAAACACATGCAGTTTCTTTGGAAAAGTCTGCCAAAGTGTCTTACGTGCAACCAGATGGAGTTGATCTTTACCACTCAAGTGCATGGCTGGAGTTTCTTGACTTTCTTCTCGAGACTCGAGAACAAGGGTCCAACCATCGTTGTTGTACAGGATGAGCATGAAAACGTCTTTGGTGCTTTTTGCTCTGCGTCGTGGAGGCGCTCAAAAATGTTCTTCGGTAACGGACGAACCTTCGTCTTTTCCCTGAGTCCCCGCATGCGCGTATACCCATGGTCGGGGATCGACAGTTCTTTCATGTACACCCAACGCGACTCCATATTTGTCGGTGGGGGGTAGCAAAGGGATCGCGCTCTGTTTACAGCTTGATGACCGACGTGGATTTACGCACGCCTGTTCTACGTTCGACTCTCCACCGCTTGTCGACTACCATACGTTCCGATGCGAGACCGTCGAAGTCTGGAGTTTCCACGGGCTGAAGGTGTAAATGATACCTATCGCTCCGGACGATTTCAAAGGAGGGTCGACCGCTGTCTTTGTCGGTCATGCGTGTGTCGTAGTTTTAGCGTGGAATGTACAGGTATTTCGTTAGTTTCCCAAGATTCGTTTATCTTGGCTACACATGGTGTGACTGTAGCCCGTAATCTCGAATGAACGCAACGGATGAGGTCAAATTGCCGCGTCATCTCGTGGATTAAAGTTCGCACGGCGCCATCGCAGCGTTGGTGGATCCGAGGCAGCCAAGATATCCATTTTTGCTGTGTCATCCACTCGTGATCTCGCTCATGTAAAGCTTCAAACGCACCAGGATCAACGTGTTCGGTCATCAGATCGTTCGTCTTCTACGTCGTAGATTCACTGCACACTCAGCTCTTCACACGTTCATTTCCACCACGCAGTCACTATTTCCATTCTGCACCTCGATTCTTACGTTCGTGTTCGGACTTGCCTAGCGTGTGATGATGAAAACTAATGGCAAAAGCCGAAAGCAATCGGCCTTCGTCCACAAGCTGATCAGCACAAACGTGAGTTGCTAGTCATCTTTTGGTCCACACGGTAGCGCGTCAACACTGTTAACAAACAGCCACGTGCGCCCATTCTAAAACTGTCGTGAAGCTGCCGCTGGTGCTGAACAATGTCGGGTCCACAAATGGCGTCCGCCTGGTTATCATCCCACTACAATTCGGTAACTGACGTCTGGTAGCCAAGCGTTTGAGCAGTTCAAGTCGGTGTTGCTTTTTGCACCCTGCGATTCGTGAACCACTGCACACCATTTTCCATTGTTTGGCTGGGTGACCAGGTGGATGTGCTCTTTCTTGTTAGCAAATTGACTCAAGATTCGTCCCGCATACGACTTTCCACAAACACGTCATACCCGTGCAAGTAGATCTATGGTATGGGGTTCACGTTTACTACAGTGTTGCGGAGACCTAGCTCGCAAACTATCGGGCTTTGCCGACCTTTCGCACCTAGAACACTCGGTGGTGACGATATCGATTCCAGTTGCCTCTTCCGCCGGCTTTGCAAGTGTGACATGCAGGTCGGAGCTAGAGATGCGAGTGCACTACATTTGGGGAAGAAAACGAGAAGACGCGTGATCTCTGAGCGCCTTTTTCTCGCCCAAAAGTTCAAGTGTTCACTAGTTGCAAAATATCCATCCGTACCGAGACCGAACGATGCACTCCGATGATTAGCTCCGAAAATGGGCTACCGCCACCGTTCGATCCCCATTTCGCTACTCTTGTCTCAATTTGCACATTAAGCACGACGTTCTCCTGCTTTTACCGCCGACAAAAACGTACCACCATTTAAAAGCGGTTTTACTCAAATCTACCTTTTCGAAACTCACTGGCTCCATCTGATTCTCCACATTCTCCACCCCAATTGGCTAAAATCAAGACGCTACTTTCCTGTGCCCGTGATTGACATCCCTAGTCATGTCAGCCACACAATTCGTGTCGCCACGTGGGTGAGCCAAGACCGCATTTTTCGATCAATCGGTCGGTCTCTCACACGAACTGCTGCCCCCACCTCGTCTTTGTGTGTGTGTGTCTACTTCCACTGCTACAGCAAACGTCAAGCAGCATGGGGAAACCCAACTCGCCGCCGCAATGGACAGGACGCGCGATTCGGTCGCTATCTCTGCACCGACGTCGCGCCAGCGTTGTCCAATCTGGTTACGGACTCGAGCACCTTTTCTTTGTCCTTATGTACGCGTTCTCGCTCTACCACTGCTTCCTGACGATCGGTGAGCCGTATGCTCAAGCTATGAAGGAACGAGAGCAATCGGAAGTCATGACGGCTGGGGGTGTCACTGGAACGGGGACGACGGAGGCCTGGCTGCTGCCATATTGGCTCATGGAGCTGTGCGTGACAGCGCAGCTGAGCTCTCGGTCAACTATACCGAGCAAGACGAGGATGGCCCGCCATTGCCCAACCCTTTTTACCTGCTGTTGTGCCGTTGCTGTATCTTCTCGGAACGATCATGACCCACGGCCTCTTAGTTCTGTTTCAGATTTGGTCTGTGCGTGTCAAGTCTTTTATCAAGTACGCGCCAGTGACTTCGTTAGATGAAGCCACATATGTGATGGTAGTGCCACGCTCTTTCAAGGGCAAGAGCAGCATTATTGAGATCACGCGGCCTAAGCAGGCAGACGGTACGTTGGCAGGACGCCCGTACTTTCACTTCCAGAAGCACAAGTACGTTGCGGAAGAAGAATCGGGTGACAAGGGTGCCGTGCTCTTTCGAAAAGTGAAGGCTCGTACTACTGAAGTGGTGAAGTTCTATCTGGATTCGCGTGGTCTCAACTCAGATCGGGATGCCGAGTTGCAGCTGGATTTGTATGGCAAAAATGAGTTCAGCATCCCGCAACCCAATTTCGTGGACATGTTCAAGCAGCAGTTGATCGAGCCGCTAGCTGTTTTCCAGATCTTTAGTGTCTGTCTCTACATGCTAGATGAGTACTGGCAGTACTCGCTGTTTACGTTGGGTATGATTCTTATGTTTGAAGGTGTTACGGTGATGAGTCGTCTAAAAAATTTGCAGACGCTACGCGGTATGGGTAATAAAGCGCGTGAGGTGTACGTTTACCGTGGAAAGACTTGGAAAAAGCTGAATTCGGATATGCTGGTGCCTGGTGATGTCATTTCGGTAAAACGTGAGACAGATGGTGATCACGACAATATGGTGCCCTGTGACTGCTTGCTGCTGGACGGATCAGCGGTTGTTAATGAAGCGACATTGACGGGTGAAAGCGTGCCACAAATGAAGGAGGCTATTGGTACAAAGATGAGCCCGGAGGATCTGGCAGAGCAGCTTGACATGAAGTCGGGTCACAAAGTGCACGTGCTTTTTGGTGGAACTACTGTAATGCAGGCAGGCACTTCCAGCGAAGGTCAGCCTGGGGTCATGAGTCAGCAAATCCCACACGCACCTGACAAAGGCTGCACGGCATATGTATTGCGTACGGGCTTTAGTTCATCGCAGGGCAAGTTGGTGCGCATGATCGAGTTCTCTAGTGGCAAAGTAACGGGTAGCTCATGGGACGCCTACGGGCTTGCATTCTTACTTTTGATTTTTGCGTTGCTCTCCTCTGGGTATGTGCTGCGCCACGGTATCGCACAGAAAGGAAAGATCACGTTCGAGCTGCTGTTGCGGTGTGTGCTCATTATCACTAGTGTTATTCCGGCTGAACTACCTATGCAAACAGCAATGGCAGTGAACTCGGCCCTGCTGAATCTGGTGAAGCTATCAATTTTTTGTACCGAGCCTTTCCGGATCTCCTTAGCTGGCAAGGTGGATATTTGCTTATTTGATAAGACAGGCACTCTCACCACGGACCAACTGACAGCGGTTGGCGTGGTTTGCGAAGATGCCATCACCCCTACTGCTGCTGTTTTGAAGGACAAGGTGCTTGGTCACGTGCCGATGATTGCAGCTAACTTGGACGCTACGCTGGTCCTTGCTGGGTGCCAGTCGCTGGTTCAGATTGACGGCAAGATGGTTGGCGATCCGGTGGAAGAGGCATCGATCCGTGCCATCGACTTTTCGTACGATGCGGTTACTCGTCAGTGTCAAGCAAAGAAAGATATGGAGCGTGCGAGTGAGCGTCGCTGGGGCCATGGCATTAACCAGAAAGAGGTTTCTGTGCAAATCATGCACCGCAACCACTTTGCATCCAAGCTGCAGCGAATGAGCGTAGTTGCCAGGGTGAATTTAGGCGACAAGGGTGTGCAGGTGCGCTCACTTGTAAAGGGGAGTCCTGAAGCAGTCGCAACGTTGATGCGGCCTGATTGCATACCGGATTGGTACTGGCCGACATATCAAAGTCTTGCCCGCCGTGGGATGCGCGTGCTTGCTCTCGCCTACAAGGATATCAACGGGCGTCCGTCCGAGACTGAGGTCGCCCAACAGTCGCGCGCGTGGGCCGAAAGTGATTTACGCTTTGCCGGTTTTGCCGTGTTTCAGTGTTTGGTTCGAAAGGACAGTGGAAGTATTTTGAAGGTGCTAAAAGAGAGTTCGCACCTGGTTTCAATGATCACCGGCGATGCAACGCTGACGGCTGTTCACGTGTCGAAGGAAGTGGGCATAATCACTCGACCTGCGCTTATTTTAAGTGAGAGCTCGTCGCCTAGCGACCCTCTGAAGTGGACGAGTGCTGATGACGACTCAGTTATAGCGCCATATAAGAGTGGTGATGTTAAGGTCTTGGTTAAGAAGTACGATTTGTGTGTAAACGGCAAGACGCTCATTGCTGCAGGCGAGGTAGACGATTTGATCTGGAAAAACCTGAGCCATATTCGTGTTTACGCTCGAATGACGCCTGAACTGAAGGAAAAGGTGCTAACATTGCTGAAGACGCACGGCCACCATACCCTTATGTGTGGTGACGGTGGTAACGATGTGGGGGCACTAAAGCAGGCGCATATTGGAGTAGCATTGCTAGGTGGATTTGGGTCAGCGAATGCCGACAAAAGTGTGACTGGTCTGGCTAAGTACCAGAAGGGTAACGAGGCTACCGTGAGCACTCGCGAAGACCTGATGAAGCTGCATGTGTCAGCGTTGAAGAAGCGACTGGTTCAGCAAAATGTGAACACATCGCATTGCAAGGTGAAGCAAGACTATGTCGAGCTTATTCTTAGTGAGCAGAAGAAGAAGACGATGGAAACTATCAAGAAGAAGCAGCAGGCTTTGGTGAACAAGAATCCGAAGCTGAAGGTTCTTAGTAAAGAGGAGCAAATGGCTGAGATGAAGAAAAAGCAGGAATTGCTGGAGGCTGACGTGCGTGCGCGCCAGGCCCGTGGCGAGTCGTTTGCGCGGATGAAGGCTATCGCAGCATTTGCCAAGCGTGAAGCCGAAGAAAAGAAGAAGCTACAATTGGAACGCACAGGGTCGAAGGGGTTTGCAAATTTTGCAAACAATGCTGCTATGGCACAGTATATGGACGACTTTGACGATGGTGAGGTGCCGATGGTGAAGCTTGGTGACGCGTCAATCGCGTCCCCTTTCACGTCGCGCGCTCCATCGATTAAAGGCTGTGTCGACATTATTCGCCAAGGCCGTTGTGCGCTCGTGACAACTATGCAAATGTACCAGATTCTGGCTGTGAACTGCCTTATTAGCTCGTACTCGCTGTCAGTGCTTTATCTTGACAAGGTCAAGTGGGCCAACTCACAGATGATGGCGCTGGGCATGATATCAACTGTGGCCAGCATTACGTTGAGTCGCGCCACTCCGTTGGAAAAGTTGTCGCCTGTTCGTCCGCTAACATCAATTTTCCATCCAGCGCTTTTCTCAAGTCTTGCTGGTCAGTTTGCGCTTCACCTTGGCTGCATGATCTACCTCACGAATCTTGCGAAGGAGTACACACCCGAAGGCGATATGGCGCGCTCGAAGCCTGGTGAATATCAGCCCAGTGTTCTAAGTACGGTCATCTTCTTGATCAATGGCGTGCAGACAGTGAGCGTGTGCGCTGTAAATTACAAGGGTCGGCCATTTATGAAACCCATGACAGAGAACCCGGGACTTCTGTACTCGCTCGGCATCAGTATCGTTGGCGTGTTTTTGCTGTGCACGGAGCGCATGCCTGTGTTCAACAAAGTGCTACAGATTGTGCCTATGCCTGACCCGCGCTTCTCGCGTATCCTTACTGGACTGCTCACTCTCGAAGTACTGGGTGCTTTTGCATGGGATCAGATATGCTTGCTGGTGTTCGCGCCCAAGATATTCATGGCGTCAATGCGCGCGCTGACCTTCAAGGACGTGCGCCAGCTGTTCAAGATGACGGTCGTTTCACTGCTGATCATTTACGTCCTGGCCAACATTGATTACGATGAAATCGAGCGCCAACAGCAGCTTCTTGAAGAACAGCATGCTGTTGTTGATGTGGAGGAGATCAGCAATTAGACACCAGTTGTATCACGTGTTGTGCGCAATCTCGTGTGCCAGGTCGAACCGATTCGGACCGACTCATTGATGATGGACAGACTTTGATCTTTGTCGTCTATTGCCTATAGATAGCTACGTACTACTACTGATAGTTGTTTTGGCTGCTCAAATAGATGGGCATGGCTGTTGTCGCCGCACGCTACAGTCACATTCTATTTGCTGTTCCCTTTCGTCGACTTCTGCTTCAAAAGTGCTGCTCCAGCTTTACTGCTTCGACGTGGGCAGCGTGACAGAAGGATTATTTACGTTGTGGCCTGACCAGTGAAGCAGTTGACACAACGGAGTCGGCGTAAACTGAGTGGGCCGGTGATACCGCAACGCGAAATAGCTATTCTCGAACGCGGCTACTACACGGGCGAGTGCAAACGCCCCCGCAGCAGCATTGTGCTGTCCATTCTTGTATACAGGGTCGTCAATAATGAGTTGCGGCATGAGTGGTAAGCCATTGGCAAACGACAAATGTGCTGCAAGTGGATACGCGCCAAACGCCTCGGGCTTGAGTGAAAGTCCCGTCGTGTAGTAGTCAAACGATGTGCCGTAGTACTCCAGAAATCCAAGCAGCAGGCAACCAAGTTCCCGTGCTTCCCGTTCTCTAAGCGTCTCGTTCTCAACCTTTTCATTCCGCTTCCAAGCTGTGTCTTCGTCTTCGCTTTCAGACTCCTGATGCATCCGAGCTTCAATCATAAACACAGCCAGCAGCGTCACCGCGTATGAGCTCAATCCTCCAGTGTACGCACTATTCAGTGCCTTTTCCCTCAGCATTTGCCGCAGCACCATAAGCAGTGGTTTCAATCGGGGCAAGTCAGTGACATATCGTCGCACTAACTTGCTCGCCTCCATTCCCTGACATGTCTGGACGTTCTCAATCGAGATATCTACCCGCAACAATACCAAGCTCTCGCCTTCCCTCTGACTCCCGCGTCGTAAGCTCAACTTCGCCACCGGCACTTTGGCTCCACGTACCACATCCACGCGTTGCACCCACGTTTTCTGCGGACGTAGTTGGTTTGCCAGTCGCTCAAGCTCTTTCACTCCGTCAGGCACGAACCGCGTTGGCACGTCTTGGTCCGTCGCGTTCGACAGCCCCATCACAACTACATCCACGTCACTCGACGGCAGCCACAAGCCCGTAGAGTACGAGCCAAAGCACGTGACAGACGCGTGTGGCCAGATTTTGCGCACCCCGTCGGCAATGTGGGCAATAGCCGTGTCGATGTAATGGCGTGCAGCGTCCACCACGAGGTCCGTATAGGCGCAATAGCGCATCATCTCTTCCCCTACACGAACAGCCACTGGAGACGAGGCGTCATTGAGTTGCCTTAGCACCGCAGCATCTTGATCGTTGGTCGACGGAAGCGCGGGCAGCCAAGGCGGGAGACGGCGCAAGCGACTGCAGCTAATGGCTGCGACACGCGCCGCCTCGGCTTCTCTCGCGCGCGCATCTCGCTCGGCTGCCGCAGCGATTTTGCGGCGATTGAGTCGCGCTTTCTTGCGCTCCAACTTGCTGCGTTTCGAAGCTGCAGACGACGACTGGAGGACGTCGTGGAGCAACGCGTCCGGCATGATGTGGGTTACGTTTGACTGGGTTTCGTGCGCTGATGGGGCGGTGGTTTGACATGTGCGACATGGATGGAGCTATTCGGTAAGATGGCTACATCCGGGATAACGGAGTGGCAGCTGGATCTCAGGATTGGAATATTGCGATAGGGATAAGAAATACTGTAAGAGCAGGATTGAGCGACGAGTTGTAAACTGAATGATGCAGGTTACATTTCATCTGCGCACGGACGGAGTGGGAAAGCTAAGCAGTTTTGAGCTGCTGATGTGATAAGCTGCTGCTGGACGTGGGAATGACAGCAAGGTCTACGTAACGCTATCGGCGGTGGTTTTTGATGACCGACTTTATCCATTTGTGGATTTATCAACACGATAACAATTGACGCACCGTCCACTTGGTACGAGATCTCCTATTTTCACAAGGAAGTCATTATCATCCGATGCCCACCTTTGGGTTGGCGGATCGGGTCATGGATCCACTAAGCAAAGCATCACGTATGTTTTTGCAGGCAGCGTATATCATCGACGCAGGTAGGGGGTTGGACGGACAACGATGGCAAATGCGATCAGCCTGGACCGGCAGACGGGCTCACGACGAAGGCACAAGTGATGCTTTTGCTACCGACTAGCACACTGCTATTCATCACACTTGTTCATTCACGTTGGGCGGGCCTTCTGTTACTGCTGCCATCAAACATCATTGTGGGACCTGTACCCAAGATCGTCGCATTACTTGAGTGGCTCGCTGTTCGAGTGTCATTGGCACCAGTGCTACGTCTTTACAACTGCCATCGGGACTATAAGCCCCACGATGGCGAACGCAGACTCTGGTACTCTTCTTGCTGTCAGCACGACGTGCTCTCCATGTCACCTACAACTCGAATACTTTTCCGACGACGAGACGCGAGGCTTAGTCATGAGTTGCATCCCAAAGAACGTCTTCCTTACAATACCTACGACAAACGTGTTATCTTCGATCGACCAAATGAGGTCAAAAAGAACGCGCTGCAGCCTGATACAAGAGCCGCTGCTAGGACGACAGCATCTGCCCAATACATTTCGACAATTGACACGCACTCCGTCGATTCAAGACCTGACAAAAGCGTTATAATTAAAAAAGCTCAAATTAAGAAGAGGGTGGCTTCTTCTAAAACTAGCCCAGCAAGAAGAAGCCATTCATCCTCTTGTCTACATTACCACCAACGTCGCATAATCTGAACGCGTCTAATTACCGTCGCTCGTCGTTCCATGCACCCCAGCAGCCGCCCGTTCCAAGACGCGTCCGTCGCACGCACGCCACCAACATCTATTGGCCACTCCATGAACGTTTCCCCTATGCCTCCTGTAGACAGCGCGTCACCCGCGTACCAAACGCCGCTAGCTTCCGCTGCTTTACCCGGACCGCCTCACTCGAACCTCATGGACGAGATTAGTAACCAGATCAAATCTAGTAACAGTCAGACCATCGTCAAATTCATGCGTCTTCTAAATCTGGTACTGGCCTCACTCACCATAACGGTAGGCGTGTTAGCATGGATTTGTGGTCAAGTGGATACTTTCCAGAAGGTCATTGCAGGGATCTACATCATGTACGAGACACGCAACGAGAGAGTGTCATAACTGTGAACAAAGAGAGAGAAGAAGAAGGGGTTAAACTGACCAATGCTGGTGCTGTTTCTGGTGGTCTCAGATTGTTTGGGGCGCTGCTGCTGGCCTTTGAATTGCGTACTGATAAGACAGACGTGGTCCTGCGCACAAACTTTGGCTTTATGTATGGCAACAAGACGCGCACGTTGTTCCTCGTCTTGTAAGTTGGATGGTGCTTTTTTCTTGCTGTTGCACTGAAATCGAGTGGTTAATATGCATCGATTTAATATTCCGGTGATGTTGTTGGTGGTGTTGCTGTTTTGATAGCATTGCGATCTGGCCGCTTTCGATGGGCAACTTCTGGCTCACGATTCTCGACGCTCTGTTGTTGTTTCTCAACGCACTGTTCAACTTTTTTGTCATCTCGAAGCACCCGGTGTTCTCCGCGATGCCACCCGTGCACGACTTTGATGCCCAACATCATGAGTTCGCTACTACTGGCTGTGGACCTTCGGGTGTGCACGAGAACGTGTGAAAGAGGAGACATCATCCGCCACGTGCTGTTTTGTAAGGTTTAGTTGCAGTATGTTGTTATATAATCCAGCGCTTCCTCTTTCTGACGATCACCTTTGAAGTTTCGCTGAGCATGAGGTACGATCTTGTCGATGCCACCTTTCTTTCAATTGACTTCTCGGCTGACTCAGACACAATGCAATCAAGTCTGGAGTGTGTGCGTTCACAGCAGTTGTAGATGCCGTCTGCCCCACTTGACACCTATGTCTCCATCACGTCGGATGGTAATAGTACCAATAGAAATATCATGGCACTACCGCGAAGTTTGTGACTGCAACAAGCTTGCTACGTGTATTGATGACATTATCGGGCTTGTGCCTGAAAAGATTAACGTGCTTTGCAAATCGATTGAACGCCAGCTTCGTTACGTGTATATCGACTTGTCTGGCGCTCGTTTCTAACTCGACGATACCAAAGTGTGAAAACAATCCTTGGTCTTAACCGGTAGTTCCAGAAGCGTATCCTTCCCATCCCGGCCACTTTTGAACTTGTGAATGTTAACCTGCCATTTAATATGGTGGTCGATGTAGTTCTGCTGTAACTCAACGCATGGCTAAAGAGCAGACACGTCACGACCATTCTTGCATTAAACTGTAAACAGATACTTTCGCTAGTATGTCGATGAGAACCTTTGTTCAGTATTGTCACGGCTGGTAAGTCCATGGTGGAAACTCGAGATGAGCGACGTACCAGTATGTACATAAGGATAGAGCTGCATACAGCTTTACCATGTATCAAGTGGTACCCTTGGTATTGACTGCGTAGTCGGGTTTCGGAACCAATCATCATATTTTCACTTATATTGCGATGCAGGCACGATACCATGCGAAGCTGTGAAGAGACAACGCTGCATTGATCCAAGGCTAGATAACAAGAGGTTATTTATTGATGTGAAAAGAGCTAGCAGCTTGCGGAGCGTATATCGATATACATTTCGAGTCCGAATTAGGTTTACACCAACACAACAGCGCGTGGTCTCAGGTCTTGCAGAGTGACGTCTTGATCAAATCATCCCAACTGTTCAGGTGCAATTGTAGAGTTTAACAGCGATCGCAGCTATATCGACGACCATTTAGTCTGATGTATCAATACGCATTCCTGCGCCACCGTTGCCCAATGTACCGGACGAACGTCGTCTACGTCACTTAACCCACCTACTTCGAGTGGAATGAGTTCACTGCCTGCTCTTAGGTGGATTCGATACACCCAATCCTGAATGCTGAGCAACGCGGAGCTCTGCGTCTGACAAAATGGACACGTCTTGACTCACTGGCGTGCGCCGAGTCTTCGCGTGCACAGCGTAATTTTGAAGTGTCATCTACTTGTATGGTACACTGCTTTAACTTACTTACACAATACTGTTATGTTGAGAACAAAAAAAAGAGCGAAACTATGAGCGACTGTACGTATGGGGATAGTCGAATCATCAGCAGCTCCTTTCTACGTATGTACGTGTCTGTGTGTGTGCCTTCCTAAGTTTAGGCTAGGGTGTAAAGGACATGTCCTGTAAGGTACGCATGGGCATGTCTTCTTACAGGTAAATATGGAATTTTATGTGACTCTTGTACCTATATTAATCGTACTAGTACTTCGCATTTTACTTTTTTGCACCCCAAACGTTTTGTCAAGCAATGATCTGCTGGAAGAGTAACACTTTATCCATGTTATGCGTTACTGAGGGTGGGCGGAGTTGCGGAGTTTGGTAAGCTTCCATGTCCGTCTTCCATGTCCGTTAACCTTTTTACTACATTATGGAGGGTACATTGTGCAGCATGACACAATGCAACCATCTGCCTACATCCACTGCTCCAAATGTCGACGAATGTAAAAACCGTGTTCGCGCTCATTTGAATCACAATTTTGGAAGAAGTGCTTTCATCATCACTGAAACAATCATTCAGTAACATGTATGTGTCTGCTGGAGACTCGACGGGAATGGTATACAGGTACATAAGGGACGACCGAATTAAAATGGTTATCAAGTCTGTGAAGAAGATGGAGGAACGCATGACCTCAGATTAGATCAACATATTGGCAACGAAGCGGAAACCGGCTTTGACTTTATAGTCTATTCCAGCCTATTTCAATGTACGGGAAGCCGATTCGTTCGGGGAACCTCAGGTCGTCCAGGCAAATGATCAGCTCCACACAGAATCGCAGACAAAAGAAAGAACAAGTACGTTCTCAAGACGAAAGTTGATTACAACCAGGACTTCCTTCGTGGACGTGGGGAGGCAATTATGAAAAGGTAAATGGAGCCATGTAGTGATAGGATACGCCTGATCTGGAGCGATTCAGCAGAAATTACTCAGATCACTGAGACTGTGCAGGTAAAGGACAAGAATGCCCTAGATAATTAGAAAATAAAAAAGCCCCACCTCCTAATATAATTATGGTAATGTAGTTCCTTTAAAATCACATATATAGCCACTTTCACAATACCCGTTTTACGTCCGTGCCCAGCCCCGCCCGGTATGGTGTGTTAAAAGACACGCATTCAAGTGGATGTTACAGTAAAGTGGTACAAGTATAATTTTGAAGTCATGTTCGCGTCGAGCAACTGTGTGAGTTTCATTTATTGATTTCTCCTGCAGATGAGATTTTCTAGAAGCCAGAAGAAGATAAAGAAATCAAAAGCACTCTTTCTTTTGCATCTAATTGTGTGTACTCTGTCTCTAGCTTTGTGTATTGACTTCTAACAAAGAGAGTCGCGGACGTGGCTGCCGCGGACGTGATGCGCTCACATCAACAAGTTGAAGGTGCATACGGAAAAGGGAAGACGTGAGCGCGTCCTCGTATCGTCGTCCGAGAATGTACTCATGCGCAGTTGGTGCTGATGTTGTGAT